TGTTGCTTTAATATTCTTATGTAAAGTAATGACGATATGTGCTCATGCGCACTTACATACGCGATCTCTCTTTTTTCTTTACCATTACCGTTAGCTACTTCTATTATTCCATTTATTAACATTAAATAACATTACTTAAAACAACCATATTAATTTTACTACAGCTACAACCAAGGTCTTATTTTCTTCAGTTTTATATGTAGAACCAGTCAGTCACTGGTTTTGTAATCAACAAAAACAATGCTGTCATTTCCTCGTGTGTTTTAATATTCTATGTATTATTAATGAATTGTATTGCTCATTTTGCACACATAAACATTAATTCAATAAAAAAGACATTCAGTAATAAACAATAATGAATCTTTTGTATATAAGAGAAATGACGCTGTTTACACGATTATGCCCGTCGTCTGCACGTTGGCGGGCCGTTCAAACCCGTCGAAATTCAAGTTTCCGCCGTCAAAATTTTTATTTATTTATTTTTTTGTGTGTTCCAATAAAATACGTTAAGAATAAAAAACTCGCGAAATTTGAGAAGCTACTATACGACATTTAACCCTTCAATATGTCTTCAAAGAGACCATGATGCAGAGAAAGTGGTGCTAGTGCTTCCAAGCATAAGCACAAGTCACTATCTATCCAGGAAAAGGGTGAATTTCCATGGTTCGGCACTGGTCAGGTCCCGAGGTTGCCGGACTAGAGAGGTGCAACCTGTACAACAGTTTTTTAACTAAACCATTCGAAAAGCGATTAGGGTAACATCTTTTGAACGAAAGAAAGCGAAGGCCATTGTTTTCGTCACGAATTTATCCCACTTTCCACTGTAATACGGACGTAATTTCAGCAAAAATATTACATTTCCATGAATGTATTATATCAAGCACAGTATGAATAGAATATCACTAATATAAGAGTATTTTAACCGAAAACTATTAAAAAAACGAGTAACTTCTCTTGGACATCGGAAGGTTAGGTAAAATCTTTTGTTTTCGTCATGTATTTTATGCTATTTTACATTGAAATACATCATGTTTCAGCAAAACTACTATTTATTTCCGAGAATATATTCATTCAGGCACAGTTAAGGTAAAATATACATGTGATGTAACAGTTTTTTAACTGAAAACGATTTGAAAAACACGTGTACCGTCTAGCTGATACACAACAGCTGGTGGTGCGTCATGCGTCATTGTAAACAATAGGAGGTTGCAGTAGATTACCGGGTATTATATTAAGTGTGAAATATCGAAAAGGTTTTTATTGCCAGTATTTTTTTGTAGATCAATGAGTACTGTGATACTGTATATGATATGATAAGTTAGCCTATGCTAAGAACTTCAACATAGACTACTGAATGCACATTGTAAGGTAATTTAGCCTATTATAAGTTGGTGAGCTTCATTTGCTGAAGGAACTCCACAACTTTTCATTACTAATTGGTACATATTTTATGCTTCCATTGTTTACTGGAAGTAAATGGTAAATATTTTTCATGTCTGAAGCTAAAAGTTGCTCCTCGCCCTTCCCATCATGCATGGGTTCAACCTAACAAAACTATTACGCATGTATAGGATGACCCCCAATTTTTTGCCAAAAAATTTGGTCTTAAAAATTCGAACTATACACGAGTATATACGGTAACTTATAATTTTACTTTACAATAAATGAAAAATGAAAAGGAAGCACACATAACATTTATTACACATGAGAATACAAATTTAAGGGTTATGGGTGGGGGGGGGGTTGCTAATGAGTGGCTGTTTGTTCTCAGTGATTGGGCCCCCCCTCCAAATAAACATGGTAAAGGTCTGGACAATCAGCGAGACCAGACCCTCTTTCCCCCCAAATTGTCTGGACTTTCAAAGGTTTACTTTATTCACAAAGAAATAAAAGTGGCAGTATAATACAGTAGTGAGCTTAATAGGGTAATATAACATTGAAATTAAACAATATAAACTAAGTATAGGTAAACTATGGTACAGTACCTCTAATATGGGGTTTAGTGTCATAATGTTCTCTAGGAGCAAAGAGGTTAATGTTGGATGGCCCAGAGAGAATTTGAAGAGGGTTGACTAGAAGGGTGGTGCAGCTTACGCACTGTTAATCATTGAGACAAACTGTAACAATTCTGAGTGATAGAATGAATACAGTAATGTGTAGAGAATAAATAAGGCTGAGTCATTAAGTTTTCTATTACTGTATTGGTTAAATGTAGAATTTGGTCCTGAAACACTTTGAATTGGTTTAATTATCAGTACAGTATATTATGGTATACGTTGGTTTATCCCACCACAAACGTGTTACAGTTCTCATGTTGTGCAGGTGTGTAATCTTGTACCAGGGAGCACACATGTTATTACTGGTACAAATTCGACATTAGAAAATATTATAGATACATCAGAGCAAGCAGGAAAAAAAAAAAACTGTATAATTGCTTTTTTTTATGTATTGCATGAAAAGTTGGCTCTGATAATTAGTTGGTGTTAAGTATCTGGGCAGTTACTGTATATGTGGTATGTACAGTATTTAATCTTAAAAAGGCTTGTGTAGGAGTAAGAAAATGCGGCATCACAAATTTGGCCTAACAATGAAGTGGGAAGATGAGGGGGGTTACTTTGTGTTAGATATAAACATTTCTACCACAGTGATTTTAGGCTTTGTTTTATTACTTTATTCTTTGTTTTCTCACTATCTGGTCACCTATGTTATTATATACGTTACTCTTATGTTTTATTAATTCTGTAGTTGTATTTTTTATTTTTTTCTGTAAGGGTTTATTTCTTGTAGATGGAGTACTGTATACTTAAGTGTATCAAACATTGTTATGACCGGTCAGGCAAATCCAGAGGGGGTCTGGGCCCCACTTTTCATCAGAAAATTCCAATACTTTTTCTTCAATGGAATTTTGTACTTAAGCATTTTTGTACAGTATATAAAAACATATTAATTACTGTTGATTTCAGCATATTTCCTACTATCAAGTGCACATGGCTTAAAAATGGCTTCAAAATGCCCATGATATTGGTCAAATTTAAAAAAAAAATTCTGGGGGGGGTGCTTACAGCATCACCCAAAACCCCCCCTGTTGTGTGGGCTTGCTTTACACGCCACGTTTCCTGACCCACAAATTCTTGGGGTACCCCCCATTGATAATCCTGGATCTGCCCCTGCCAGTTTTGAAACTATGTACTATGCTGGTACTGTGTGTGTTTTCTATAGGTTGGTAGTGTGGCCAAGTCTAGTGGTATTCCTTTACACATGGATGGAGCACGTTTGATGAATGCTGTAATTGCCAGCGGAGTGAGTGCTGCTCGTATCCTTCAAGGGTGTGATACTGCTTCCATATGTTTTAGCAAAGGACTCGGCACCCCGGTTGGCTCCGTCATTGTTGGTCCTGAAGATTTCATGTACAAGTCAGTAAACTTACTAACGTATATTTATGCAAAACTGATTGAAATTTGGGAAAGTTATCCTATCCTTTGTGTAAAAGAATAACAAAGGATTCATTAAAACATGTTAAGTGGAGAAATATACAAGGGACAGGTCACTTAAGAATAAAGACCCACAGTTTCCACTCCCTGAGGCACAAACATTAATTCTTTGTACTCAACTACATGTAATAAGTGATGCTGTCAAAATGCCTCATGTCCTGGACAGAGTTTTATCCAAAGCCTTGTTTAAAGGGCAAGAATAGGCATACACAGTTGAATATGCTTATAGAAGGTAGTCGACCATTCACTTGACTAATATACAGTCAAGGCAACCCACAATCTGTTATATGCAATGGATTTAAGGATTAGCTTTAGAACAGCTTTTCTTGAAATATCATTCTGTCCATATAGACGCTGTGTAATTTTATTTAAATTTTTTTTTTCAGAGCTATACGTCTCCGTAAAGTATTGGGTGGTGGCATGAGGCAAGCAGGCATGTTGGCTGCTGCAGCATTATACGCTCTAGAACACATGGTTGAACGTTTGGCTGATGATCACAAGCATGCTAAACTTCTTGCTCAAGGTGAGTTTCATTTTTGTATTTTTTTTCAGATTTGATTGTGATAACCAGTGGCTCTCTTGGATAAAAATTTGATTTTGGAATATGTAATTTCTGCACTGTAGCTGTGCTCCTTGATATGTATCATTACTGTAGTGTCTCAAGAACAGCAGTGGGTCATAACATGTTGAGTGTTGTCACAAGTCTGAGGAAGTATTGCTAGTGTGAAGTGTGAACAGTTGAGAAGTTCCAGTAAACTTCCTCTAATTCGGACTAATTGGAGGGAAGGCCGTCAGATATCGTCTATATCGGGTTCCCGAGCATTTACCAGTGTGACCCCATTTAGTTATGTCACTTATCCAGTACGACCCCAAGTCATTACATACTGTATACAGTATACATGAGGATTCTTAGAATAACTACGGACATATTTTTTAACTGTAAAAACAAGTAAGGAAAATGTAATGCAGTACATAATTGAGGAGTCTAAAAGTAAACACTGGCACAAACATTACAGCTCTGTCATGTTTATATCATTTAATGTTCTATACCTGGGGGGTATAATTACATGGTTAAGCAACATAATCTAAAATTTTCTTAGTTACAACTCGGTCATATTTAATAATAATAATAATAATTAACGGTTTATTGAAAAAGTTCTGCAGCCCGAAGGCTGAAAATATACATTGGGCATAAAAGACTTATTACATACATTGGTGGTTTAACAAGAGCCTTCATTAGAGAAAGGTGAAGGAACATACAGTGAACATACAGATTAGTGTAGGTGTTGAACAGCAAACACGTAGTGTAGTAACTCCCTCCCAGATGGTGTTAGGAGGGACCTCACGTGGTGTAGTAGTTCCCTCACAGATGGTGTTATGAGGGGCCTCACGTGGTGTAGTAATTCCCTCACAGATGGTGTTATGAGGGGCCTCACGTGGTGTAGTAATTCCCTCACAGATGGTGTTATGCGGGGCCTCACATGGTGTAGTAATTCCCTCACAGATGGTGTTATGAGGGGCCTCACGTGGTGTAGTAATTCCCTCACAGATGGTGTTATGAGGGGCCTCACGTGGTGTAGGAATTCCCTCACAGATGGTGTTAAGAGGAGCCTCACGTGGTGTAGTAATTCCCTCACAGATGGTGTTATGAGGGGCCTCACGTGGTGTAGTAATTCCCTCACAGATGGTGTTATGAGGGGCCTCACACGGTGTAGTAATTCCCTCACAGATGGTGTTATAAGGGGCCTCACGTGGTGTAGTAGTTCCCTCACAGACGGTGTTCTATGAGTGAGGTGTGGTCCCAGGCCTTCCTATCGTAGACGGATTAACACATCGCTGGTTGTTGGGTAGGGCCGTTATCACTGGGTACCTGGGACCTCACCGTGTGAACGTCAACTTGGGTACCACTGTTACTGTTGAGTTGTTCTCACTGACTTAAGCACTGTTCACCACTGTTCACCTCTGTTTAACACTGGTTCCATTCCTTTCCTAAATGAAATAGTAACTTCTGGCGTGAACTTGTTGATATTCCGGTGGGGAGGAGGGTTCAGGGGAGGGAGTTGGTATGGGCCAACTTAACAGTTGACCTGGCTGCTCCGAGAGGAGCGCCAGGTACGTCTTGACCCTTCGTATGTGATGTGTGCATTATCATTTAATAAGTTTTCTATCCAAGGTACTGTACAGTACATCAGTCATAATTCATATGTGGCATGTGCATTGTCATTCGTTAATTTTTTTTATTAAAGGGGGGATATGTTATGTGACTAAACAATATAGCATATAATTAGGGTTTCTGATTTCTTGAACAATACAGCATGGGGTTGCAATTTAACAGCATTTCTTAAGATAATAGGAACAGGAATTAATACATTCTGTAAAATTCTACTTATTTTACTGAGTAATATGTTCATATACAGTAGTATAGCACATTATATATGATAGACCTTTGACAGAATTACAGTAGACAGTTTTTAAGGACTTAACCTACCTTTAATGCACTAAATATAATCTTTCATTCCATTTACGAGCACAATTGGTTCCACAGAGTCACTCTTTAACTGAAAATCTTGTTGACTGAATCTATTATTTCAATGGGATATTGGGTAATTGGTTCCAACTCACAGACTTCCCTTAAAATGAATTAAAAAGTACATACAAAGTACTGTATACCGGTATTAGAATTAACAATATGTATTAAGGATGGTGTGTGCATGTAAATAAGTAAAAATAAATGAAGAAAGTTACGTATATCTACCCAAAAACACAAGTTGAATAACTTGCACTTTAATGTACAGTACATACTACACTTTAGGACTAAAATTTTTATTTCTTGTGCAAAATATATGATATCTATATTAAAATTATTCGCTGTCTTCCAAGGATTCCAGCAATGCAAGTTATATTCTGCTAATTTTAGTCTGTGCCATTTTATAAGATAAAAACTTTAAGCCTAAAACCACATTCACCCTGGCTGGGAGGGAGGGGACGTGAGGTGTTTTGACAGCCTGCGTCGAAGGGTAAGGTTACCCCGTGCATATTTATTTATGTCATGTAGAGTGACTAAGTTTTTCGCTTATAAAATGTCACTGAATTGACTTGGGAGAATATAACTTAAATTGCAGGAGTTCTTGTAAGATAGTGATTAATTTGAATATAAACATGCTATAGTTTGTACTAGACATAAAATATTTAGTACTGTAATTATATTAGTACATTTGAGCACAGTACAGGTTCGCCTTTAGGAAAATTATTTCCTTTGCTGTTTTCACAATATGTATTTTGGATGGTGTGCGCAAGTAAATGAGTAAAAATAAATGAAGAAAGTTAGTATATCTACCCATAAATACGGGTTGAAAAATGTGTACTAAAATGTACTACACTTTAGGAATAAAAAAATTTTCTCTGCAAAATATATGATGTCTATATTCAAATTATTCGCTGCTAATTTTAGTCTGATGTTTTATAAGATAAAAACTTTAAGCCTAAAACTACTTTCACCCTCTTTTGGAAATGCTTCTTAGGGAGGCTGCTTAGTCCAGAACCCCCAATTTTTTTGTCTCCTGTGTCCTTAGTGAAATGATTGCCAAATGGTAAGGCAGTATTTTTTTTATTATTATTTTTTGTTTTTTTTATTTATTCCTCACATTTATGGAGGAATACATTAGACCGCAGAAGGATATAGACGCCAGACTAATCTGCAGATACATAATACTAAATGCTGCGGTTGATGAAATGGTGAAAACCGTGGATACATTGAATCTGTGGTTGGCGAGGGTCTTCTGTAATGCAGGGTGAAAAAATCCAGAGGATGGGGATTTCTGATTCAATCTACCAAAGAACACCGAACCTACTGCAACTTTTAGCCTTGACTTACACCCTCTGGGTTTTTATATGCTGTACAGTATGAACTTCTTTTTTGCCACTTAGGGTTTTACCATCTGTGGAAATAAAGTAAATTTTTCCTTGGTCTCTCATATGCTCTCAATAGTTTGGTGCTGGCTTTCATTACAAAATTTGCAAGGTACAGTCCTGTACCTTAATGTACTATGCAAGTCACTGAACTGCAGCAGTGTCTGCTGTCTCAGCTATCACACACGGCTCCATTCAAGCCTCGTGCCCCAAATATACCTCCATTTGATGACCCATTACATAGATTTTGTGTATATATATATATATATATATATATATATATATATATATATATATATATATATATATATATATATATATATATATATATATATATATATATATATATATATATATATATATATATATATATATATATATATATATATATATATATACATATATATATATATATACATGCATATACATACATACACACACACACACACACACACACACACACACACACACACAAATGTCCTTAACATACGCTGGGGTTACGAACAGAGATACCTGTGATGCTAAAAATCACAGATATGTGCTGCCCCCAAAACCTGGTCCCCCATGTCCTTATTTACCGTATATACCTGTGTGTAGTTCAAGTTTTTAAGACCAAATTATTTGGCAAAAAATTGGGGGTCGACCTCTAAACGGGTAATAGCTTCGTTAGGTTGAAAATTATTTACCAGTAACTACCAGTAAACAATGGAAATGACACACCACCACACCACCAGCTGTGAGTGTCGGTACAGTTGCTAGGGCAGATCTCTTGCGTCATCATAGCAAGCCCAAAGTAGCCAAATGCATGGTATGGTATGCACAGGACGATGTAAAACATAAAGTATTCATTTTTTAAAGTTTATTTATAGATACTGTACATAAATTTTTGTTCATTACATTTGAAACATCAATCTTTGTTAATTAAATTTGAAACAAAAGAAAACTACGATACCGTATTTCTAAATACCTGGTATTTTCATTAAAATATAACATCACAAGTATATTTTACCTTAACTGTGACTGAATGAATATAGGTATTCTCAGAAATAAATATGGAAATATAATATTTTTGCTGGAATGACGTATATATTACAGTGGAAAGACGAAAACAATGACTTTCGCTTTCTTTCGTTATTCAAAAGATTTTACCGTAATCGCTTTTCGAATGATTTTCAGTTAAAAAACTGTTGTACTCGTACTGTATTACAATAATATTCTATCCTATCATTAGCCTTATAATCCCACAACTGAAAACCATTCGAAAAGCGATTACGGTAACATCTTTTGAACGAAAGAGAGAGAGTCATTGCTTTCGTCACAATTTTATCCCACTTTCCACTGTAATATGTACATCATTTCAGCAAAAATATTACATTTCCATGTTCTCAGAAATAAATGGTAGTTTTGTTGAAACGCAACGTACAATATTTAATATTAAAATGCAAAAATAGCTATAAAACAATTAATACACCCGTAATGTACTGGCTGGCATCTCCACTCTTCCCTGCTCCCGCGTCCAAGGTCACCACTCCTCCTAACTCGCTCCCTCCGCTCCCTCCTCACCTCCTCCACCTCCTCTGCCTCCTCCACCCCCCTCTGCCTCCTCCCCGTCAC